TGTGAATGCTGCCCCTTTTAGAGATTGTACAAACTGTCTAATCAATAGTGCGTTTAATTGAGAAGTCTCACCACATGCAGAGGTATAGTATGCCAAATGTTCGTGTAGAGACCCATTTATCCCATCAAATTTTTTAAAATTTAGTCTTGCATAATATCAAGGGAAAGGGATTTGATCATAATGTGCTGGGTAAGGCTTTCGGTACCTAATACTGGCATACACATAGCAGCTTGATATTCTCCTATTCTATCCATAATCAGTGTCCTCAAGTCTGGTTGTGGTATTGGATCCGCTGGCTGTCTTATCTCAGTTCTCAAGCTTGGTTAAGGTATTAGGGATGCAGATGTTTGTCCTATTCCAAATGCTTGACCTACACCCACATTTTCTTGTAATTGTACAGAGAGTCTTGCGACTTCAGCCTCCTTTTCAGCAAGCATCATTCGTAATTCTCGGATTTGCTCACCCGGCTCCTCCATGCTTGTCATTACAGTAACTAAAATTGGCATATTTCTTGACTCTGCATCATCATCAATAGTTGACACTTCCATTTGGCTTATCAGAGGTGCATCTTTAACATTTGAGGACCAGAAGAATTATGCATACAACGTGCCTTCAATCGTGTGATTGGTCCCTTATAAGGCACCATTGCATTTCTTTCCACTTTGTTGTCAACAGCAAGCTCTGTCGTTGGACAATTCTTGGTCATAACGATCAACTCTTCGTCATTTTGCTCTTGGTTTTGTCTGTCGAATAATGGCCCAAGATTCATTCGTGGAATTCTCAGTCTACCACTTCTAACTTGCTTCACTAAATTTTCTTCAAGTTGAGTGATCGAGCCCATTTGATTTCTGTCATTGACTATTGCCTTTACTTTCCCTTTTTGTATACTATTTTTGGGAGTCTTTGAAACATTTGGTGATGTAGTGAACATGTCAACCTTTTTTGTTATTAGAGAAGCTGGAGTAGATATCTCCTCAGCACTTGTCATCATAACAGATTCTATAGTACCAGTGTTAATGAGGATCGAACCAATCATAGTCTGAACTGGTCGTGGATCCATGATCTTAACAGTTTCTGCAGGACAAGTCTTAACAGTCTCGACGTTTTTAACCTTCGCATCATTGACGATCTTTGAAATGAGAACAGCTACGGCCTTCACAGCTTGTTTAATCTTTCTTTTAGCAGACCTTGCTTGTCTCTTCTTCAAACCTTTGGGAGCTTTGCCGCAAAGGGCCTTCGAAGATTGCTTCGCTTTGGAAACCTCAAGAACTTTTGGCACCATGGAAGCGGCAGGTGTCCCATTGATTGCAAAGGTTGTCTTAAATCTCATCTTTTTTTGCTCCCCAGCAATCCTAACGGATGAGAGTTGAAGGAAGTAAACAATAACTTGGGGTGTCATTCTGCAAAACAAAACGACACAAATGGTTACATTTAAATGATTATCATAGAAAAATATTATCATTATAACCGGAGATGAAAAGAAGAATGGGTCCCACCGGGCGTGCCAAAAACTATGTTGAGTAAAAATATTTATTAATATTGAAATAATATTTACAATCACCTATACTAGGATTTAATTAGCATAGGAGTTTATTATTTTTAGTTCGACCCATTCAAGATTATAAGAATAACCTCTTAATTACAATCCTTTGGTATAAGGGAAAACCTTTTGATTCCGATTAAAACAATAAATTTTATTTTTTGTGAATTTAGGAAATTTGGGTTGATTTAAAATTGTGCCTGAACTCGGTGAATTTAGCCGAGTTGCCTATATACCCCGTTGAGGGATCAAGCCACTTCAAGTTCAAATTTAGAATTGGGATTTGTGTTTGGATAATTTGGTTTTAAATTTAGAATTTGTATTTAGATCATTCCTAAGTATATGACCATATGAGGAATTAAAAGAACTTTGAAAATTTAACTTAAAATTTGAAATTTAGATAATTTCTCGATATATGACCGTGTGAAGAATTAAAAGGCCTTTTTGAAATTTGATTTAAGATTTGAATGTGGATAATTCCTATGCTGAATTTAGTTTGGAATTTGTTGTAATTTCAAATTTAGATTTGAATAATTCCTCGGTATATGACCATATGAGAAATTAAAAGGATTTTTAAAATTTTAACTTGAGATTTAAGTTTGAGTAATTCCAATGTGAAATTTAATTTGAATTTGAAAATTGTGACTACACCTAGATTTTGTATCTAAGTTACCTATTTATTCAAAATGGAATTAAATCTTCGTAGTTCTTGAATTTTGAAATTTAAAATGAAACTTTGTGAATTTTAATCTAAGGTGAATGGCCTGTTTAAATTTTTGGGGCAAATTATAATTTTAGATTTTTCTTTTCCGTGATTTTTAAAACTAATCACATCCTAACAGATATATATGGGATACACACATACATTTTTCCAAATCTGTTTGGATTTAAAAAAAAAAGTGATACTTTTGCTAACATATATATACACAGATATATATATGTGGACAGAGAAGAAAGTCACAACTCCATCAAAGCTATATATAGTCGGCAACAGCTGACACTGAAGTCAACATCATTTAAAAACATGCTATTAACTTTAAAAGCATATATAAAATATGCTATTTAGTATGTCTCTCTCATGAGGCAGCTAAAGTTTTGAGTTTGAAATTTCTTTTTAAGGCCAAAGTCTGGCACTGCCATTAATTGGTCGCCAGATTCTTGACCTTTAAAATGGTGGCTGAAGTCATGTATGTGTGGCTAAGGTCATGCAAGTGTGGCCGGTGGTTGATGGGCGTGGTTCATTGTGATGGAGGCATAAATCCAGTGAGGAGCCGGAGGTTGCTAGTGGATATGTGGTGTAAGGGTATCGTTCGTGTTGTTTTTGCGTTTAGCTTCATCAGTGGCAGTTGCGCTTTTACTGTAATGGCTCTGTTCATATTCGGTTTCTTTGGCTTCCGTACAATGGTTGTTGGCTTGTCATCGGTATCTATTCCTGTATGGTTAAGGCTATTCATAGGTTTCTTAGGATTTTACTAATTTTAATAAAGGTGTTGTTTTCGCCAAGTTTATATATTATAATAACAGAGGTGATTTTTCAACTTTTCGATTTTATTTATGTGTCACACTCGTCCGAGTTAGTTATTGACAATGTGTGTATTTGTTTACACCTAGATTTATTTTTAAACCGTGTCACTTATGTTCCTAGTACTAAGGGTTTGGTTTCGGTCAATTGGTTTTATCCATCGACTCTAGTGGTTCTTCTTAACGAGTGTGGTCTTAATCGATTAGTTTTATCCATCGACTGCAGTGATTTTTCTTAATGAGCTTTGATTGCGTTCTTTTTTTTTGTACCGAACGGGTCTTTTTTTATTAGGTCTCAACGCTTATATTCACTCTTATACTTCATTCATATTTACTGATGAATCTAATTAATGTTTTATAAATTGCAGTCACTTACGACTATTTATATAATTTATTAATTATTAATGAAATTTTTATTAAAAATATTATTTAATATATTTTCTTACAATTTAATTTATTACAACTATGTAATCGAATTAAGACTCATGGCTAAAACAAGGATTCTATGTCGGTAAATATTGGAGCCGCACCCATATGAGGGTATTTGATACGAGGTAATTTTAAGAATGAGAATGAAAATCTTTTAAATTCTCATATTTAATATAATTATTAAGGTCTCGTTCATTTTACCGATTTAAATTTTTAGTTTTAAGTTTTTACAGTAAAAAAATTTTAAAAAATATTACATCTAACTTTTTTTACTGCAATGAAAAGTTTTCACAAAATATCATATCTCAACTCGAATTAAAAACTTAAATCCGCAGAATAAACGAGGCATAAATTTTTTTAAAATCTAAAAAAAATAAAATTTATGAGTTTCACGTTACCACGTTTTGTGGGTAATCCTGAACCCAACTAATAATATTTCTCTCACCCATCGACGATTATACATCTGCATATCTGCCCTACCATTGCTCTCACCCACCCATCTCACCCATCTCTCTCTCTCGTCCAGACCCAGTCTCTCTCTCTTCCAGACCCAGCACCGCTTCCGTCAAGGACGCCGCCGCCGCCTTCCGATCCACCACGCCGTTGCCGGACTTTCCTCTGCCGCCACCACCAGAGTATGATTCCTTTTTTTCTCCTTTTTCTGTGAAAAATTTTTCTTTCACGATTTGTGTTAATTTTTGATCTGAACTTGAGAATCTCACTTGAGAAAACCCAAAAATGTCAAAAACGTCGTCGGCGCATCTGGGTTTGAACCAGAACGGCCACGATTTTTTCTCCTTTCACGATTTGTGTTTAGCAGCCGCTCGAGTGAAATCTTTCCCCATGAGAGTTTTATTCTTGGAAGTCTGGATTTTTTTGCAAAAGAAATTTTCCAGACATCGATTCAAATCTCTCCATCCTTTTTTGTTTTCCTCCCCATCGATTTTTTCTCCTCCATCCTTCTTTGCATCCGCCGCCTGAGACACAACCTCCATCAACCAAAAAGCACCACCCAAGTCGAGATTGACATCAAAGCTAGCAACTCATGTATTATGAACCTTATGCTGTTGAGAACTCATATTGAGAACTCATATATATCTGTTGTGCTGTTGTGCTGTAATCTGAAGAATGAACCTTATGTTTGGTTCTGTAGAAGTAAAATGCTTCAAGTTAAATTCCTTTTTCAATCTTTGATTTTTTCCCCCCTTAAACACTTGCACTATTGAAATATGAGAACTAGAAGATTCGTCTATTAAGTTAATTTTATATTCAGTATGCTTATTTCTTTTTTTCCCATCAATGAGCAGATATGGATCTTCTTCCATTGGAACAAAAAAAAAGAATTGTGGCTATTTTGGTTCAATATATGGAGATGTTAAATGAAATGACATTTTTGTTCATGCTTATGATATTTGTAATTATTAGTAAGAGACATTTGCGTAGAAATAGATGGGGTGAGAGTTCTTATCGCCGAAATTATATACGCCAACTAAATTACTATCGATTGATACATGAGGGTGACTTAGCATGTCTTGAAAGCACTCGTATGAATAGGAGAACATTTACTATCCTATGTAACTACCTTAGAACCATTGGCAATTTGAGGGGAACAAAAAATATGGATGTTGAAGAGTTGGTAGCTGTATTCCTACATATATTAGCTCATGATCAAAAAAATAGGATTATGAAACGCCTATTTGCACGCTCGGGTGAAACAATAAGTAGACAATTCAATATTGTCTTAAAAGCAGTGTTACGTCTCCATGAAGTATTGCTAAAAAGGCCAGAGCCAGTTCAAGAAAATTCCATGGACGAAAGATGGAAATGGTTTAAGGTGAAAATTTTAAATATCTCTAATTCTTTATTATTTGTATGTTAATATGCGGTAGGTATGTGGGCTAAAATTATTATTTGTGTTTTAGAACTGTTTGGGAGCACTTGATGGAACATACATCAAGGTCAATGTGTCTGCAGCGGACACGCCTAGGTACCGTTCTAGAAAGGGTGAAATTGCTACCAACATGTTGGGAGTATGCTCTCAAGATATGCAATTTATATATGTATTGCCCGGATGGGAGAGTTCCGCAGCTGACTCAAGAGTTTTACGAGATGCTTTATCTAGGAGGAATGGGTTGAAAGTTCCACAAGGTAAATATGTATCTTCTTGACAGTTATAGAGTCATACACATTAAAATGTGTATGCATTTTAATTTTTCTAAAAAATATTGAAATGATTTACAAGATATTACTACTTATGCGATGCTGGTTATCCTAATGGTGAACAGGAATGGGGGCGATTTACATTACTGTGTTTGGATAACCAGCATCGCCCCCATTTCTGTTCACCATTAGGATAACCAACATCGCCCCCATTCATGTTCACCATTAGGAGAACCATTAGGATAACCAGACATAGTAATAATTTCAAGATGGCGAGGAAAGAACCGAGGAAATAAACGCACCAAGGATTCATTCTCATACCAATTGCCTTTCCAAGATAAGATTTTGGTCCCATTTCCCACTTCCAATTTGACATTTGGAGTCGCCCAAGGGAAACCAAGCTCCCTAAGTAAGAGAGACCAAATCTTTATGGAATAAGTACAGTGAAGAAACAAGTGATTAGTCGTCTCCCCATCATTCCTACACAAGTAACACAACCGCAGAGATATCGAAATAAATGGGCTGACGTTGCAACGACTCATGAGAATTAACTTTGTTAAGGGCAATCAAACAACAGAAGACTTTAACTTTGCTGGGAGCCCGAGATTTCCATATAGTTTTGAAGAAAGGGAGTCGCGGAAATGAATGATCACATGTCAATGAATTGAAAAGTGATTTGACTGAGAATATCCCGTTAGTGTTCGGCTTCCACACCCTGCTGTCTTGAATCACGCTATGAATTCTAACCCTCTCCACGATAGTTGTTAATTTTGACACCTCCCTTAATTCCCTGTCTGTTAGTCTCCTTGTGAACCCAAAATTCCACGAGCTGGCACTTAAGGAATTGTCTTTAGAGATAAATCTTACAATTTGCTGCTCTTGAACTCAAAGGTTCACCCTCGCTCCAACAATTTTCCCAAAACCTAACAATTTCGCCCGATCCTATCTTCCATTTAACCCTTTGGAAAAAAAATATTAGCCACAGAAAGAATTGATTTCCAAGGGCATTTGCATCACTCTCACAGCTTCCCCTGAGTCCCAACCATTCGTACTCAGCCCATACTTCCCAACGATAACCTTATGCCACAACGCTTCTGGTTTTAGCGGAAACCTCCACAGCCATTTCCCTAGCAGGGCTTCATTTTTCTTCCTGATGTTTCCAATTCCCAAACCTCCTAATTCTTTTGGTTTACGCACATGTTCCCAAGCCACCAAGTGAGATGAGTTATCATATGAGAATCCCTCCCATAAAAAATCTCTCATTAGCAATTTTAAACACTGATAAAAAGTATATGGGTAAAGATGCTAAAACTGACTGAATGAGAGTTAATCTTCCTCCTTAGATAAGAAAGCTTTCTTCCACCCATCCAATCTTTTCGACACCCTAGTAATCATAGGAAGTATTGCCGAAACAAAATTATTTAGGAAAAATATAGAACTCCAGAGAACTCTGCCTTCAAAAACAATTAGACAAGAAGGACGATGCAAAAGCAAATGGACAGGACTTCATCTCTGTTTGTTTTTTTATTCTTTGTGTTCTGTGTAGCTCCAGTTCGTAGTAAAGTAGGTGTAGCACCAGTTCGTAGTAAAGTAGGTGTAGCACCAATAGAAGATAATGTGCGCGAAGGCCGCTTGAGGTGGTACGGGCATGTCCAACGTAGGCCGCTAGAAGCACCAGTTCGTGCTTGGGAGGACATTCTTACACCTAATACTAAGAGAGGGAGGGGTAGACCAAGAATTACGTGGACTGAAGTAGTTAGGAATGACATTCTAGATCTAGGCCTTCAGGAAAGTCTAATTTCGAACAGAGCTGCGTGGAAAAGTGAAATCCATATAGCCGACCCCAATTAAGTTGGGATTAAGGCTTCTTGTTGTTGTTGTTGTGTTCTGTGTAATCTGTTTGTTAAATGGGTGCATAATTTGGTTCAAAATTCGATTCTGTTTCTGCAAACTGGATTGCTAGTGCGCATCCTTTATATTTAAATTTTGTTGTCAGATTTGGTTTGAAATGGTATAGGAGGTTGCATTATTCCTAGAAATCATGTATTTACGTGTATTTGTTTACCTAACTTTAGTTTGGATTTTTATCGGACAAGTAATATAGGTGCTGCAGGTAATGGGACAGGGGATTCCTTTATCTCAAACCACTTTAATACTAACAAGTTATGGGGTTATGAGGTGGAAAATATAAATTGCCACCAGACTTCGAGCTCTAATTTTTCACATTGTCTTGATAAAATGTTTAAGTTGCCTATGATAGAAAAGGTTCTTTCCTGTTTCCATTCACAACTTCCTTTTTCCTTTTTTTTTTTTTTGAAGGGATTCTGTTCCCAGCTGTTCTCTGGTAAAAGCCTCTTTTCTGTCTCCCATCCCTTTTGAACTTTTTATTTCTTGTATGAACCATGCCCTTTTCTTTTTTCTGAATCTTTTCTTCGATGGTCAGATTTTTAGTGAGTTTATTTTATAATTGTTTTGTGTTTTCTTATTCCCACTGGGGAAATTCCTGCCTCTACTGGCTGTATAAGGAGGCAGGAGGACTGATTATTGGTTGCAGCATGAGGATGGGAATGTTTCCATGATTCTATTGCTCTTCTTATATGACTATTGCTCGTCTCTTTCTCTGATATTTTTATGAGTCTATCACTCTTCTCTTTCTCTTATGTTGCTAAGTTGGGAGGATGTCTTGGTTTAAATGTTTTAAGTTTTGTTACGAGTGTTTTTGGTTCTGTTTTGGTCTCTATTTTGTTGTATTTTCTTTGATGGATACCTCATTCATCTTCTCACTAATAAAATTTTTCAGTTTCTTATCAAAAAAAAAAAAAAATGTGAATTGTAACATCAAGTCAGGTAATTAGGTTTCCTTATACAAAAATAATAATAATAAAAAAAGGGTTTTATGTTAATATGTTGTTCTCTTTCTTTCAGATCTGTCTCTGCAATGGGGAAAAAGAAGACAGAAGATGCCGGTGGAGCGGTGAAGGCTAAGACTGGCAGCTCTAAAGATGGAAAGAAACTTGCTGTCTCTGCTATACTGGCTGGCATGGACCCGAAGCCTGATAAGCCCAAGAAAGGATCTTCCTCAAGCACAAAGGTGAAAACAGCTCCAAAAGTTTCATCTTATACCGATGGTATAGACCTTCCTCCCTCTGACGAGGAAGAGGACTATGCTTCGGAAGAAGAACAACAAGAAGTTGATGCACACAAACGATCCAATCAGCAGAAAATACCTGATTCCAAGATCCTTGATGTGTCAATAACAGACAAAGAGTTAAAAAAGCGTGAAAAGAAGGATCTTCTTGCTGCCCATGTTGTTGAGCAGGCAAAGAAGGAGGCTCTTAAAGATGACCATGATGCGTTCACTGTTGTTATTGGAAGTCGGGCTTCAGTTCTAGATGGGGAAAATGATCTTAATGCTAATGTCAAGGATATAACAATTGAGAATTTTTCTGTGGCAGCTAGGGGAAAGGAACTTTTGAAGAATGCATCAGTAAAAATATCCCATGGAAAGAGGTATGGTCTGGTTGGACCAAACGGAAAGGGCAAATCTACACTGCTGAAGCTACTAGCCTGGAGGAAGATTCCAGTGCCAAGAAACATTGATGTGCTTCTAGTTGAACAGGAGGTTGTTGGTGATGATAAGACTGCGCTTGAAGCAGTCGTTTCGGCTAATGAAGAACTTGTCAAACTTCGGCAGGAGGTTGCAACATTGCAGAACTTAGGTTCTGCTTCAGAGAGTGAGGCAAAAGATGACGATGATGATGACAATGATACAGGAGAGAAGCTTGCTGAATTATATGAGAAGTTGCAAATAATGGGTTCAGACGCTGCAGAATCTCAAGCTTCAAAGATTCTTGCTGGGTTGGGATTCACAAAGGATATGCAAGGCCGTCCAACTCGGTCCTTTAGTGGTGGTTGGAGAATGAGAATTTCATTAGCCAGGGCACTCTTTGTGCAGCCAACTCTATTGTTGCTTGACGAGCCTACTAACCATCTTGACCTGAGGGCTGTCCTATGGTTGGAAGAATACTTGTGTAGATGGAAGAAAACCTTGGTTGTTGTTTCACATGATCGGGATTTCTTAAACACAGTTTGCACTGAGATTATTCATCTACATGACCTGAAACTCCACTTTTACCGTGGAAACTTTGATGATTTTGAAAGTGGGTACGAGCAACGTCGCAAAGAAGTTAATAAGAAGTTTGAGATTTATGACAAGCAGGTGAAAGCTGCTAAAAGGAGTGGGAATCGAGCTCAGCAGGAGAAGGTCAAGGATCGAGCAAAGTTTGTGCAAGCTAAGGAAGCATCAAAAAGTAAAGGTAAAGGCAAAAGCAATGCTGATGAGGATGACACACCACCTGAGGTCCCACATAAGTGGCGGGATTACAGTGTGGAGTTTCACTTTCCTGAACCTACTGAGCTTACACCTCCACTCTTGCAACTAATTGAAGTCAGCTTCAGTTATCCTAATCGGCCAGATTTTAGGCTCTCAAATGTTGATGTGGGCATTGATATGGGGACCCGAGTTGCTATTATTGGACCCAACGGAGCTGGGAAATCTACATTGCTCAATCTCCTTGCAGGTGATTTGGTTCCGAGTGACGGTGAAGTACGGAGGAGTCAGAAGTTGAGGATTGGTAGGTACTCTCAGCATTTCGTGGACCTCCTGACTATGGATGAAACACCAGTTCAGTATCTTCTTCGTCTTCATCCAGACCAGGAGGGTCTTAGCAAGCAGGAGGCTGTCCGTGCAAAGCTCGGAAAATTTGGACTACCTAGCCACAACCATCTTACTCCAATTGCAAAATTATCCGGAGGACAGAAATCACGGGTCGTCTTCACCTCAATATCCATGTCAAGGCCCCACATCTTGCTGTTGGACGAGCCCACAAATCATTTGGATATGCAGAGTATTGACGCTCTGGCTGATGCACTTGATGAATTCACTGGTGGAGTTGTACTGGTCAGTCACGATTCGAGATTGATATCGCGCGTATGCGACGATGAAGAGAAGAGTGAAATTTGGGTCGTTGAAGATGGTACTGTACGGTCATTCCCAGGGACTTTTGAGGAGTACAAGGAAGAGCTACAAAGAGAGATTAAAGCTGAAGTTGACGAGTAATTATGCATTGGTAGTGATATATGTTTGTACACTTCACAATTAAAATTTTGCAGGCTTTGGCTCTCTGAATACAGAGAATAGACATTGGTCTTTGTTCTACAGATGCGTCTTTTTTTTTTTTTTTTCCTTTTAATGAGTGTACGATTATTACCTTATGTCCCGAACAAATAAAGTTGGATGTTACGTCAATACAGTTTAATTAAAATTACATTTATGAAAAGTGATGTAATAATCCTTGTTAGGACAAGGCCATTACAAACATAGGGTTACAAACCCCTATGATATTTTGAGACGTGAAATGGAAGACGGTTTATGGACGAATGTTTTGAATAAGAGTTGTTATGGACACCAATTCTTTTAAACACCAGTTAATAAAATATTGACAACCTAAAGTCAGTATAAAAAATTGGAATTAAAGTTGGTGTTCTAAGCATTTTTCTTTTAATATTAAAAGGAAAAGTTTCAAGCCCTTGTGGTCAAAGTTCAAAGAAATTCCGGTTTATAATTTCATCAGTATTATTTAGATGCTTTGTGGTTAAATTTCAAAGAAACCCCGGTATTTTTTTTTTTTTTTTGGAATGGTCATTAATATTATTTTAGTGTTAGGTATAACTAAATACTCTCAGATCAATGAACATCCAGCAGCACACTAACAGGAAACTTGTTTGGCGTCAGATTTGTAGGCCCAGGCAAATAACAGGTTGTATCTATGGAAAAGTGCAAGATTAATAATCTCGACATGACGCAAAATACAATTATTGTTTTTATTGTTGGATGGATTTTTTTGAGGTAATAAAAACTCTTCAAGTGAGCAATATGCACTTGGGCGACCCGAGCATAATCACCCAGACGTGCACTCAGGTAACCGCCAGAGCGTACACTCGGGTAGGGCAAACGACAAAAGATCAAGAGTTCTCAAGTATTAATGTCCAGTAGGGGTTGACGATTAAAGGCATTCAACTCAAGATTAAGTCTTAATTGATTGTTTATTATAAGTAATATTTGAATGATGAAAAACCTTATTGTAATTAAAGAGAGCTCTCTAATTAATAGAGGAATAAAACTCTTAATTCTTAATGTACTATAAATTTTCTTGATTTGAGAGTAAAAGACACTCAATTTTGAATACATTTATTTTGTGATTGTCTTCACTTTATTTCTATTATTCCTGTAATTTTTGTTCTCCGAGCATTTAGGCAATTTGTCCGTTCAATCCGAATTATTAGTCTAGAGTGTTGGGATAAAATATTATTCCAATGACTGTCATGTGTAGCCGCTATCTCATCATTGTGAAATGTGAAATATGAAAAGAATTCGATCATTATATAAGGAAGATATTGAAACACAAGGTAATAAAGCGGAAGCATGAGCAAATCTTGTTGTCCGTTGATACGCGTAGAGTGTTAGAAAACAAGGGCGTAAGTAATTGGTTTATTCAAAGAATATTGAAGAACAAGCAATTGGTGAGAATAATCTTGGGTTTTCCATTAATAATTCAACTGTGAAATAACAATATTGATGAGGCCTTTAAATAGGCAATTGACAACACAAAGAAAAGAAACACTCCCAAACTCGTTTTCGAAACTAGAAAAAGGAAACTAAATTTATTCTAAAATTGCATAAATAACTTATACGAAAAAAGGAAACAAGAAAACAATAGTAATCCTGAAACCAGAAACTAGAAGTAATCATTATTCGGATTTGGAGTTCCATCGTCCGGTTAACCAGAGGTACCCATCTGGTT